TGTGTCGCGTTTGCAACTGCTTTCGCGGGCATATACAGTCCTTGGGGCACCAATGACATCTTCCGATGGACAACAAACTATGGTCGAGATGCAGACCTGCTCCGTTTGGTCACACCTGGGTTCGGTGATTGCTTACAATACATCCAATTTGTTGCTCTGACTGGAGGCTTAACACTTGACTATCCTGGCTTTTATCAACCAATCGTTAGTAAAGTTGCATGGTCATCATTGATGTTCAATGAAAGCTTCGTCAGCAACACTTATCAGGACAGTCTGGTCGACGGCATATACGTAGTGAATGGAACCTATGGTCTTGATCGCATGCGACAACTGATTGGAATGGGGGAATCTGATGATGTCTGGGCTGGCATGGCCGTTTGGCTTTTGGCTATTATTGGAGTCGTCCTTGTACTGATTCAGCTGGGTTTCGCCACGCGTTGGGCGTGGAGGCTGCTAATGGGCACTCAAGAAGAGGATTTGAGGAAGAAACACGTGCCATTTTCCGTTGGAAACGTGATTCGTATTGTGTTTAATTATTTCTTGCTTCCCATCGTTGCCCTTTCCATGTTTCAATTAGTCGAGGCTTCTAGGTCACCGGCCTATACGACCGGTCTAGCGTTACTTATGCTGATCGTAATCGTCGTTTTTGCCATCTACCTGTTGTACCTTATCGCAACAGCAAGACCAAAGTCATACCTATTCGATGATCTTCCAACGGTGCTTACCTACGGAGCGTTGTACAACACATATTCAGACAATGCGGCCCCTTTCGCTCTCGTACCGGTACTCCTGACCTTTCTCCGCGGCATCTCAATCGGAGCTGTTCAACCATCAGGCATTGCACAGCTGGTTCTTCTTGCGATTTGCGAAGTCATCACAATATTGACCTTACATGCGTTTCGACCTTTTCATTCGCCAACATCAATGAATGCCTACCACACATTCTTCGCCGCGGTGCGCTTTTCCACCATTTTGTTAATGATAGCATTTGCTCCTTCACTTGGTATTACTGAAGGGCCAAAGGGCTGGGTTGGCTATGCGATTCTCCTAATGCATGCCATTGTTCTTATTCTTGGCTTCATGTTGAATGCAATGCAGACGATTGTTGAAGTTGCTGCCAGGCTTGCGGGTGCCGGAGGCAATGAGAGTGGCGCAGCTAGAGGTGGTCTTTCTAAGGTATTTGGTATGCGACAATTGTCTAGAAGATTGCCCCGTCGGGATGCCACATCGCGCCAAAGTCAATTATCAAGCGCTGCTATGCTTTCTGACCAAGACAGAAAATCATATTTAGTCGAAGGAGGCAGGCTCCGGAGTCAGTCTGCGGGTAGCGCTGGGATCCTGCTCAATAGACAAAGTGCGAATCTCGATAATATGACTGTAGATGCTTTCGGTGCAATGCCTACACATCATGTCGGCAGCGGTGCACCGAGCTCTTATACCCCAACAACGCCAGGAGAGGCAAGCACATTTTCATTTTTGCCATCTGCTGCCGCCCCAAGCGGCCGGGGACGCAATAAAGGTCCCATATTAGGCTTGGATACCACCGACACAGCAGATCCTTACTATCGGCCTCCTAGATTCCGCCGGCCGACTGCAGATGCTTATTCCCCAGGGGCAAAAAGTCGAGGATCATGGGCCAGTGGTGATTGGACTAATAGGCATGAATCACCACCTGCCGATCCTGATGCCATTGAGCCTTTGGAGGGCCCTTCAATTTCTGGCCGTAATAGTCCATCTCAGCATCAAGCTTTAGATGGAGCTCCATTGGAGCTTAACCGATCGAAGGCTGACTACACTACAAGAGAGGTCGACTTCTACTACGGCGTTCGTGGACCTGCTCTGAACGCTGAAGCACCTAGTCGGAGAATCAAAACTGGTCCTGCAGATCCTACGGGAATTCCTGCCTCCGCTGCAGGCTGGTTCAAGAGCTTCTTCAAAGGCAAGACGAAGGAGAAAGGTAAAGGATTTGAGGTTGTGAGAAGCTCTAGGATGCCACCAGGAGGACTGAGCAACGCAAGGAATGCACCTGGTGATGAATCACCACCGGAAGGAATCCCAGTAGCCACAGGAGCAATTCGACATGGTCCGATTGATTCCGATTCTGATGATGAGCATGATACCGCCGGCCCATCAGGACGAGCTGGCCCGTCGCATGTGGATGGCGCAGATGCCGATGATGGTGAATTAGTCAGTCCTATGGGATCGGATGATGGACAGAGCTACCATGACGACGAGGATGAGTTCGAAATGACCAGGATTTCTGATATTCCCCCTTCGCTGCAAGGATTTAAAATCCCTGAAGGTGGTATGGAGCTGCCTAGTAGGTTTCCCTCAAAAGCTAGCTCAAGAGTACCTCATGGCTCACGAGCCGGCGACCCAATACCAAATATGCCTTTAAGTCCTCCAGCTCGAACGCCTACAGTTCCACGAAAGAGTTCCCGTCGAAAATCACAGAATACAAGTGTGGACTTAACTATTCCAGGTATCAGTCGTCACACGCCTCAAAATTCTCTTACTTCACGACTCCCTTTTGAAAGATCGAATTCCAACAAGCGACATTCCGACATCTCTGCTAGATCCAGCATAGCACCGCATGAGGGATATGGACATTCTCGGAACACTTCATTCGGTAATTTTACTGAGGGGTATGGACATGATCGGCCGACGAGCGTAGGATATGTTTCACAGCACCACATCCACACCATCAACCCACCGGAGAACAATCCGCAATATCTCGGTAGCTCTGCTGAACTGGTAGATGGACGAATTAGTGCAAGCTCATCTATTGATAATCCTCGATGATTGGAAGCTTTCGCACACGTTTCACTTTTTTCACTTTACTAATATGCATTTGATCGTCACATGAACGAATTTCTTTGGTCGAAAAAGTCTCTTGGTGTTATGCAGCCCTACATGTATTGTAAAAAGGACCGGAGTAATATGGCGATAGGTGGATAGCGATGAACTTTCATGGTTGGGTGGAGGGAATAGCTGATTGATTGGAATGAAATGGGGGAGGGGAAAGAGCAACCCCTTGGAGAATCAGAAAGGCATATAATTTACGTATCCTGTCTATATAATATCTGACATTCACGATCCTTGTAATAATAAGCATAGTAGGAAGATGGTGGTTGATTTCTTACGTTGAGAGAGGCTACTTTGAGGAACAAGGAAGGAAAAGGGGGGGGAGAAGGGGAATGGATGGGCATCTAGGTATTGGATTGGATCCAAATTCGATCGTGAATGTGGGAAACCATAGAATATGGACAGGAATATGGGATATGGGATATGGATAAATTAATATATATTTTTTGACTTTGTCGTACCTAGTATGCTTTGAATGAATGAATGAATGAATGAATGGGGTTTGAAGTTGGGGAGAGTTGAAAGATGCCTAGGTAGAGGTAGGTAGGTAGGTATGTAGATGTGAATGTAGACGTGGATGTGGATGTGCAGATTGAATTATTCATTGGGAGTTACATATCTAGGTAGCCTAGTAGATATTAGGCATATATCTCTTTGTTGATCGGGATTGGGATATCCATATGCATGGTATTTTTTGGTTTTTTTTTCAATATTGTTAGTGGGTAGAGCGAGTGTGTTGAGTAACCTGATTGGTCTACTCGTATTCCCAAACAGCTCACGCGTATTTACCTACCTAATAAGTATTTTCAATACGCGTATAGATGGATGGATTAAGGGGATGAGCGTTAAGATGAGATGAGATGAGATGAGATGAGATGGAACTTGGCGTGTTTTGGGAACTGAAAATTGTCGTCATTGAATGACCCCGCAGCTAGTGATTATTCTGTGAGTGAGTGAGGCAGAGAGGCACAAAGCGTTTTTTTCTTGAATAGGGAATGGAATGTTGAGTTGGTTAGCTGGGTGGTTAGCTCTTGTGCGGCTGTACCGTATACTGTGTATCTGGATAGGTAATGTTTGGGTAGGGAGGAGGTATGTATCTACTATGTAGGTACCGTAGGAGGTGGGTGAGTAGTGCGATGAGATAGAACTTATATCTCGGTAGGTATCTAGGGAGGAGGTATCTGTGTATCTTGTGTATAGTATGTATATGTGTAGGTAGGTAGATAAAATTGTATAGATTGTTGATATCAATTTAATGATGGTGATGGTGATAGGAGCGGTAGGTACGGAGTAGATGGGTATAAATAAGGTTTGCAATACCGACCTAGGTAGTATTGCTACTGCACAAAGGGGGGAGGAAGCTTTGTAAAAGTCGGAATCTGGAAATTCTTGATAATTCCGATGACGAAAGATCTTTTCTCAATGCGTAGGTCCACGGGTAGCAAAAGTAACTTTGGGCCAGATGTGTCTCTCTACTTCCGCCACACGGCTCACTTCCTGATAGATGGATAGGTTGGTAGGTAGGTAGGTGGGTAGTACGGGTAGGTAGATACAAATATAAATTGATTAATAACTCTTATAGATAGGAAGGATGAGTAGGTATATAGATACATATATAGTATATAGATATATGTATATATAAATAACCATCTTTTCTTACATACATTCTTACATAAACATACCAGGTAAACAATCGCCTCAATTCACAAGCATATCTCCCTGCCCTGTCTGTCCGTCGACTCATTACCTGTCACGTCTACCAGTACTTACCGCATCACATCATCCACCATTGTCAGTGATACACTAAATTTAAATTTTACCCATATTTAAGCCCTGTGACGTTGCATGGTTCCTCGGATCTCCCCTCTATTCAGCACATTTTGGTACTTCCTGCCGTTAACGAACACTTTTTAATGGTCCACCTGAGGTTTTTACTCACACTTTTTGCCCAAACCCTTTCCAACACCGACATACCTTGAAATCCTTTACATTTGTTCACCCCTTCGCCCAACCCAGCTTCCCATTACATCCACCTTATTTGGAAAGTGGTGGATACGCAGATCTTCTCTTAATTTCCACAGTATCTAGAAAGAAAGAACGCTCGACTCGTACTTACAATTTATTAAATCGCAAGGATGGTTAGCTTGGGTCATGTTCATCGGAGGCAGTCTGGTGCAAGTATGTTTCTTCTCGGGCTGGAATGTGCTTTCTTGATGTGCTATTACCACGGAGCGAAATAGACGATTTGGAATAGCATCGCTAATAACAATATGGCAATTCTAGGCAACCGGTCTTCCGTCGACGAGTCAAAGGTTTCTGATGCCGAGGATGAGACTACGGTCGTTGAGCCAGATCAGGGAAATGGTAGGAGTCCATGAGATTTGACACGGGAGAAATGGGGCAGAGGCTGACATGGTGGAATGGAATACAGTTCTCTCACACATCATCTCACAGCTTCGTCCGGGGGCTGATCTGAGCCGCGTCGTCTTGCCTACCTTTATTCTCGAGCCCAGAAGTATGCTGGAAAGAATCACAAAGTGCGTAGATGTCGGAGCTTCGGGAGGGATGCGGATTTGAAGGGCAGGCTTGCTGATGGTGTATAGCTTCATGGCACATCCGGAAACTCTGCTTCCCATGGCGGAGGTCGAGGACCCCTTGCAAAGATTTACTTCGGTGGTGAAGTTCTACCTGAGTGGATGGCACATCAAACCTCCGTAAGGCAGACTCGACATGTTTGAGAGGAGCGGTTGTGCTAATGAGATATTGCAGAGGGGTTAAGAAACCACTCAATCCTATCCTCGGCGAAATTTATACTTGTTATTGGCAGTTTCCAGATAATACAAAGGGATACTATATTTCCGAGCAAACCTCTCATCATCCTCCGAAATCAAGCTACTTTTACATGGCGCCAGAACACAATATACGAATCGACGGATGTTTGAAACCTCGAAGCAAATTTTTGGGCAATTCTGCGGCTAGTATGATGGAGGGTATTGCTATTTTGAGATTTTTGAACAGAGGGACTGGACCTAAAGGAGAAAGATAGTAGGTTTCATACTGCAGAACTTTGAACACGGGAAACTCTCGGATTCTAACTTGCTATTAGCATTCTGACTCAACCCAACATGTACGCTCGAGGTATTCTTTTCGGTAAGATGAAGTATGAGCTCGGTGATCATAGTTTTGTGCGCTGCCCGGAGCTCGGATTGAGCGCAGATATTGAGTTCAAGACGAAGGGCTACTTTGGAGGAACTTACAATGCTATTGGGGGTAGTATCAAGAATGACAAGACAGGGGAAATTCTCTATGAACTTTCGGGTATGTGGAATGGAGAAATGTTTATCAAGAACGTGAAGGTATGATCCTAAATCCTGGACGACTCGTAAAAGCTACTGATCATGCTTTTAGACGGGTAAGAAAGATCTTTTGTTTGATGCTACGAGAGCGAGACCATCACCTCCATTAGTGAGACCTTTAGAAGAACAAGATGATAGAGAATCGCAAAAGTTATGGTTTAAGACGGCAAAAGCGGTCAAAGAACGCAACCACGAAGTTGCGACAGATGAGAAGACATTTATCGAAGATATGCAGAGAGATGAGGCTGCAAAGAGAGCAGAAGATGGTGTTGAGTGGACTCCAAGGTTGTTTAGACCAGTACGAGGTGGCCCCGGCGGGTCCGAAGAGGGCGAAGAAGATCTCGATTGGATCTTGAATGCAAGCATGTAAGTTGGGACAGGCTTATTTGTCAAATGTTTTACTAACATGGAAAACAGTGATGGCGCTAGTCCACAAGAACAGACGGAACAAATCCTCGCGGTTTATCCAATCCTTCCAGGTCAGAAATTCACGGAAAAGAACCGTATTCCTCCACAGCATCACCAACATACAGAACAGGCCAATCCATTACCACCCACGATCCCAGTGGCAGCAGCTCCAGTCTCAATTCCCTCTCAGGAGAAGGACAAGGAGAATCTCATTGATTTGGGAAGAGAATCACCAGCGCCAGTCCAATCCCAGCATGTACCAGCTGATCTCCTTGCAGCTCAGACAAAAAATAATGGGCAGCAACAAAAGGATCTTGAGCGAATCCTCCAGTCCACTAGTACGGTCCAAGGTCAGAACCAGGGTCCATTAATCGACTTCCATGATGATCTAAGAAAAGACTTACCAGCAGCTACTGACACCCAGGGAACGGCCACCTCCACTCTGTATCGACAGGATACGGATACTCACAGTGTAGACGAGTTTGTAGATGCTGAGGGATGATTCGAGAAAGGAAGGTGCGGTGGGATGTCGGAATGAGCTGAGCTTGGCCAATGCATAAGTTCACATGTGATACTTGGTGTCACCCAAGCTGAGAATTTCAACCCGCTTTACTATCAAGATTTCCTTTTTCTTCTATGGTTGAAAAGGGCAGGGTAAGGATTCAAACGCAATTTTTGGAAGCTCGGATATACTACTAGATTGGACGGGCGGGGGTCAACCTGTACCTTTGTTATATATGTTGGGATTTTTGACAGTCTGCGATGAGATTGCTGGATGGGAGAACGGATTGATGAAATAATCATGCAAATGGAATGAACTGGCTGCATGGACGGATGCTTTTAACTAATGAAATATACACAACTTCTATTCTACATGTTTTCGACATTAAGTTCACGTGAATATGTGCATATGCTTTTGATGTCTTTTTATTTGCGTTTTTATCAAATTTTTGATGTGGTTATTATACATGAGCAGCCTCATGCTGCTTTGCTGTGTTTTGCTTTGCCTTTTGCTTTAATATTCCCCAGGTTATTGAAATGAATAGATAGATGACCATGAAACGCCTTGTATGAATACAAATTCATAAGATCCCCAGTGCCTCGCACCAAAGACCCTACGCTCTGCATATCATGTCAAATTTTCCATGGGTGGTTCCACCAATTAGTTTCTCCATAGTTAAGATTTGCGGCCAAAAATTGGCGTGTTTCCACTATGAACTTCAAACATGACAGAGTGTGCGTCTCGTTTTGTCTGTAGCGCGTGAGAGTAGAAACGAAATAGTGGTAGGAGATGTCGAATATTCGTGCGTTGCATGTTTTGAGAAGTATCCGTCAGCATCATCGTTTTCCTCCCAAGAAGCATTCCTCAACTGTCCTCACCCCAGATTTCAATGCGCCCATCATCCTACACTCTCGCCCCAGATGACCATTCCACGATATCCATCTCTATTTCCACCTCACGCATATCTCTTCCTCGTGGGCTCGGGACTAGGACTTCTCGTTACGCTCCTCTCATCTCTGCCCCTCATCCTCAACCACTTCTTCGTACTCAACTCCAACTCGCGATCTAACTCATCGCTCGGGTTCTTGCGATGGATGAAATTGCAAAATCCGCCACGCACGCATCCTTCGCCGCTGTTGAGCCGACAGCATGCTTCGCGGAAATCGGTGACGGGGGAGAGCTCGCAGTAGATTGGCCGAGCGGCATACCAGCGGGAATTTAATGCGTCGCAGGCTTTTTGCGCAGAATCTTCGTATTTGAAGCGCGCGTACACGTTTCCGATGAGATCTGTTGGGGATATGTTAGTCTCCGTTTATCTATTTGAAGGTTTTTCTTGGGGAATTGGGAAAGGAGGAAAGGGGAAAATGAAAATAGATGAAGAAGACATACGATCATTATTATTATCACACACGACGACCTCTTCAATCTCGCCAAACTTGCACATCTCGCACCAGAAATCCTCGTAGAAAGCATCAAAATGGTTTTGCAACTGCGACGCATTCATCTTATTTTTCGGGTCGTAGGCGGGATTCTGGTAGAGGTTGGGGAGGAGGATGGTCTGCGAGTAGGAGGGCTTGACGTGCTTGCGGGAACAGCGGTCGCCGTGGCGACAGGCGCCGATTTTGTAGTAAAAGGAGCAATTGACCTTATCGGCTTCAGTACCGAAGATGGAGGCGAGGTAGTTGGCCATTTTGAAGATGTGAGATTTGGTTCGGGCGGAGGATTATAGCTGTAGGTACGAATCAAGTTTGTGAAGGTTTGTTTGTTGAATCTGGGTGTGGCAATTGATGGAGAGGTGAAATAACTCTCTTAAGCTTCGATGGTCGTCTCTTGTTGTATGAAAAGTAGCAGAATACACAATGGTGAGTATGCGTCGATAGCAATTTGTCTGTATTCAAAATGAGGCGCGCTTGATAATGTTGAAAGTTCCTGATATCTCGGAACGGTCCGAGCTTCTTAGCGTTAGCGCGCTTTTTTGTAGCTTGGTGGCTGACTAATCGTAGATTCGCCCACCTTCTCGAATCGAGATGTGGATTTCAAATCAGACTTCACTTCACTTCACTCTAAATTTAACTCATCACAAGATTAGCCTCATGGTCACATGTAGCACTGTGAGTACAGATCATGAAATGCCTGTTGGATTATTTTGAAGCTTTACTTGGAGCTGATAGATGATGATATGATTTCTTGTCTGGTATTATAGTAGTGTATTCCTCGAATCTCTTCAAAGCTTGACATTCTCCTTGCTGCCAGTCTAGTCGATTATGTTACTCTTTCTTTACAACAAGCAATAGTCACTGCACTTGGACCACAAAATGCATTGGATAGACCTCTGATGATAATGATAAAGATTGCAGATATGTTCAAGTCTATGCTGGGCAGTCCCATCAAAGTACTATGGCATATCCTGCAGTAATTTCAACAACTATCCTCGAATGCTAAGATTGCAGATACTGTGTCAAAACTGTTCAACCAATCCCCTTTCATCATTCTCGTCTCGTGTGCAATTGTCCCTATTCAGCTCTCTTATTACATAGTTTACCAAATGCCGCAGCAGCCTTCTCAAATACATTCTTCTTCTCGGGTGTGGCGATCACGGCTTTTTGCTCACCGTCTTTCTCGTACCGTTCAAAGCTATACAACTCATCGTGGAGTTGCAACTCCGATAATGCGATATTGTTATTGTCTGATTCTTCCTCGATGCGTTGGACAACTCTCAGCTCCTTCGGTTGTAAGCGACCGATGCCCTGTTCAAAGCGGATCTTTACTGCGACTATATTTCCCGCCGACCCTCCTTCACTCCAAGTGACCATTAGATCCCCTTTACTCTCTGGAAATGCCCAGGGGTGAGCAAACATGTGGGCAGTGTATGCAAATTTCTGTATATGGCCCAGAGGGTATGCCTTCATCAGTTCGACAATTTCGAATGGGCCCCATGGATTGACGGCTCTTCCGAACATTAACTTACTATCACCTGTCCGAGTGCAACCAACAAAGCCAAATCTGTATGGTGAACCCTCTCCGAACAGCTTTGTGTCAAATATTTGACCATGCTGATAATTCTTGAGAACTGGCCAGGAGAAGAAGTGATTTTTGACCCAGCCTCTTCCACCTCCCCAGTACTCCCAACAAGCTCTTGCGTTTGCCAGCTCCAAAGGAACACGACCTAGTACCACGTCATAATCTCCATTGTGATCGCCACCTTTGTGTCCGTAGGCGTATAAATATTTACCATCAGAGAGAACAGAGAAAGTTCCAAGTCGAGGCTCACTGGGCTATCGTTTCTCAGTATTTTTTCGTGTTGTAGAGAATTGGTAGACTTACATAAAATAAGATGCGCTCGCTCCAGCCAGCCATCTCACGCTTCGCTACAATAGTCGTTGGATTGGTCCGGTAATTAACCTCCACTGAAGCTATACCGACTGCTACAAGAAAGGTCGATCCATCCTTTCTGATACCTCTGTATTCGAAGAATGTCCATCCATATGCTGCAGCACCGGTAATAAGGTACCATGCAATTCCACCGGTGGCCCAGAAGACCTTATTGTCGTTTTTCTTGTCAAGTTCATCCTCGAAGCGCTTGAACAAGCTTGGGATTTGTCTCTCGGTGATTTCAACATTAATTGATCCAGGCGGCGCCAGGTATCTCGACATGACCGGATTGGTAGGATTGGTGAGAAATGAGAGTGTAGAATCGGTTTTTCCTAAAAATTGACCGGCTGCATTGTGGCAGAATGTGTTGTTGAATTGGAATAGCACATGTCCGTTTGGCAACGCACTTGATCTTCCTCCCAATCTGGGATAGGAATTTCCGCTCTCTTAGATATTTTTAGATCTTTAGTCTCTATGAAGTTTGATTCAACTTACCATCGTATAAATAACCCAGTGGGACAACATGCTTGATGATGGGGGGCCATACAACATACTTCGAAATTTCTGGTGTTTCTTTGTGAGTTGTCGAAGCCATCTGAATGGAGGAAATGAGGAGCAACAGTTCTATTTTCGTAATGGTCACTGGCGATAAGCTGTTCTCAATGGTGTTGTTGTGGGAAAAGGTTGCAGTTGTAGGGAAAAGCGAAAGTTCACTTCCCGTAGCTCTTGCCACATTTTATGACTTTAAAGATGAATCGCAGAAAGATTGACCTTGATGAATACTGAAGGTTTAGACAACTCATTAGCCCTCAGAGCTTTCTCTGGACCAGCTGTTTCGTTCCAAAACTCAATCGGTATTCTCTTGCTGTTTCGTCTCTGCAGAGCTATACGCCATTCTATAACTCATTTTTCAAAATACTTCCTGCAAGATTACTCTCGCTTTACTATTTGAACGGCTTATCAGCGATAAAACCCAAGCTCAAAGAATATAACCGAAGGAACATAGCATTTAAGGTGAGTGCAAACAACGAAAATAATTCATTTCAGGAGATATACTTGTGTTTAAGCGACATATTCACCATCGCACTCCGGATTAGGATGGAATATCTCACCAAACCATTCTAATTCCGAGTTTTGTTCGTAGTTAAACCAAGTCATTAATAAAGTAGCGTCTAGATAATGTACGTATCGCTTAGTTGATACTTGGTTTGGTAACATTCCCTGTTGCCTCTGTCTGTTTTTTACGTGTAGGAAAACAACACCCACCCGCCATTCTTCTTTTCTTCTTTCTGACTTTCAGCCACTTCGATGTTGGCGATGTGGTCGGCATTCCTCTCTAAATAAAGTCCATTAAGGAGTGTTTGTAACGGATGATCCAACCTTAAGTATTTGATAGTAAAGAAAGTCGTGCCTTATCAAACAGAAATCTCTAGAATACAAGAAATAGTGATTTGAATGAGACTTTTTGAGTTATCTATGTGTTCGATATGCTAACAATCGAGAATTTAAATATAAATTCCAGATCCTGTAATGATATCGGTTGTACCATAAGAAGGTAGACGTACAGTCGCAGTTTAAGCTCGAGATTGATTGAGAAACTTCTGGTATTTCTTGGATGTTTTACTATTTAAAAATCTACAAAAATATGCATATACTCTACTCTAACTTCAAAGTCTCAAATTGCTTGATAGTCTCCTCAAAGCCACGCTGTTCAGTCTCAAGATCTCCCAGCTTCTTTCTCTCTATCTCTTGCAGTTCCTTGCTGACTTTCTCTTGATAAGCGGGGTCATCAAGAAGTTTTCTCTGTTTCTCGACACCTGTGCGAGTCTTCTCTAGCTTCTTAGTTGCCTTTTCAATCTCACCATCAATGTCTACACGGCCCTTGACGTGCAAGAAGACAGCAGCAGCGGAGGAGACGGAAAATACTACACATCCAGCTGGGCGGGCATCGGTCGAGGAGAGTACTTCCAAGGATGATACGCCCTTACCGGACAAAGACTTAATGGATTGGACTTGAGATGTGATGGTGGAGTGGGAGGTAGTATCATAGGCTTGGACAAACACTAGAACAGGTTAGTATTACATTCATGTACGATAGGCTGCTGTTGATGACTTACCTTTTCCTTCGTCTTTAAGCGAATATTCAGACATCAATGATCGAATACCCCTGGATACAGCCATTACAAGCTCGTAAGCTGCTTCAGAAGCTGGGTCGTCTAATTCTGCCTCATAGACTGGGTATTTTGCAAGTACAATAGATGGAGTCTTATCTTCTGGACGTCTGGGAAGACGTTGCCAGAGCTCTTCGGTCAAGAAAGGCATGTAAGGATGGATCATGGTCAAAGCACCTTCGAGAGCGGTATATAGAGTATCAGTGGCAGATCTCTTCTCCTCATCAGTGCCGTCCTGGAGAATCGCCTTTGAGTTCTCGATGTACACATCGCACAGCTGGTTATACCAATATTGATATACTGCAGTTGTTGAACGCATGAACTCACGATCTTCAAGGTTTTGGTTAATTTCTTTCGCAGCCATTGTCATCTTATGTAAGATCCAGCGTTCAGACAAAGACTCCTTGCCAGTGAGCTTTGCAGTCTTATTTGGAACGAAATCTGCGGGCAATTTACCAACCACGTATTTTGTCGCCTGGTAGATCTTGTTGCAGAACTTTCGATAACCATGAATGACCTTAATGTCGAATGCAATGTCTCCACCACCGGTTGTGTAGGAAACCAATGCAAAACGCAAAGCATCTGTACCACATTCAGGAATACCGTCAGGGAAAGCGGTTTTCTGATACTTCTTTGCCTTTTCAACTTCAGCTGGGGCAAGATTACCAACCAAAAGCTTGGCGTGTAAGTCTTCAAGTGCGATACCTTGAATCACATCTTGAGGATCAATGACGTTGCCCAAAGACTTCGACATCTTTCTACCATCAGAGTCACGGACCAAAGAATGACAGTATACCTCTGTAAATGGTACTTTACCAGTCATTTTGATGCCGAACATGATCATTCGAGCAACCCAGAAGAACAAGATATCCCAGCCAGTTTCGAGTACTGACGTTGGGTATAGTTTCTCGAAGTCACTTGTTTTCTTCGGCCACCCCATAGTGGCAAAAGGCCAGAGACCAGACGAGAACCAGGTGTCCAGGACATCTTCATCTCTCTTGAGCTTGAAAGTCTTACCAGGAAGAGCCTTCTTTGCCTTGGCCTCTGCTTCTTCTTCTGTTCTACCGGCGAACCACCGATCACCATTACTCTCATCATTCTCATCACCTTCGATTTGAGCAAAGTACATAGGTGCTTGATGTCCCCA